GGGGGGGGTGACACCAAAATGACTGTCAGTCATTTTGGTGTCACCCCTCCAATGGTGTCACCCGGGCGCGGGCCGCACACCCCGCACCCCTTTTGTGATGCCACTGGTGCAGAGTGCCAGTCTTTGTGCTCTGCAATCACCCATCCGGTGTTATACATTATTATACAGGATTTATATAGCGCCAACAGTGTGCGCGGCGCTTTACAATACAATTCAAGACCAGATGGTAACACGGGAAAGAACGTGTGCGTTGAAACACATTCATGGAACACGCCGCAACCATGCAACACCCTTGAGGCGTCATTACTTGTAAATTGCTTGTTAATGCCACCCAAATGCGTCCAAACTTTCCCCGCACGTGGACGCGCAGTGGTGTCACAAGGGGGGTGCGGCCCGCACCCGGGTGTCACCATTGCAGGGGTGACACCAAAATGACTGACAGTGTCACCCCCCCTCTAAAAAGTTGGGCACTTGGTCATGGACCGAGAGCCCGACAGCGTCAGGAGAGAGGAGGGGACCCGGCGGCATAACTCATCCCTCCGGGTGACTGTCCCCTCCTCTCTCTGCCGGCGTCCATCACCAAGATGGTCGCATGCCCTATCTCATTATTTCTCAGTTTAGCATATAATAAAATACAAGACATCCGGATATAATATAATAGTGTTTATTGTGAAGTATTATACGGGGAAAGACTGTTATATAGGAATAATCTCCGGTCACGTCCTTCATGTCTCCTCCTCACATTCATATTATAAGATCTTCTCAATCTGCCTGATCCGGAGCCAATCCATTCCAGTGTGCTCCCTGGCTCTAGCTCCACCCACTCTAAACCCAGCACAGATTCGCCCCGTCCACTGGGCCAGGAGGCGGAGCCTGCACAGCTCAGAATCATAAAACAAGAGGGTGCAGACCCGCGGCTGGATTACATAAAACATAAAGGTAAATCGGACTTGCATAGTTATAGATCGCGGATCGGTTTGATCTGCTTCCCGATTGGTTGATGCCGTTATCAGGGACGCATTGATCACTTGCTCCCTCCGTAGGCTTTGTACGGTAAGATGTACCCGGCGTGCGGCTGGTTCACCCATCGGTCCTGCGTCTCCCTCGGGCTCGCCGCCTGCGCTCGCTCCGACAACAACTTCTCCACCCGGTCCTGATCGTTCAAAGGGTCCCGCCCGTATTCCTGCCGCAGCCAAGATCGGTACTGCAACGGGGCACAAAACAAACCACCAATCGGTAAATGGAATCCGGACGGTAAACGCACATGACATGTGCGCCGTCATACAACGCTGAGCGACATACAACATGTATGAGGCAAGCGTGTGAGCACGGCAGGTTGTGTTTTCGGGGTCCCCCCCATAACATAATTTTATTTATCGTTCATACCGACAGCAGATCTGTCATTTTTTTTCACTTCCTGTAACACGGTGACAACGCTGTTTACCCTGCAGTGAAATTGTACAGCGGCGTTGTCACCCTGCGGACAGGCGAGGCTTAGATGGACTTAAAGTAAGACACAAACAAATTAACATTTAACGTCTTTCTGCAGTTACAGTGTAAAGTTTTTAGTCCTGTAGGGCCCTGTCCTGCAGTGGA